GGAATGAGAATCGCTCTTGAAAGCGCATATAACCGCACACGGCCAGGGAACCTCCCTGAGTTCCATTCTACAACCGGAGAACACGCGGTAGTACGCCGTCACAGAATAATCAGACGCGGCGAAGGTACTTCGAGGCTTTCCTCTATCCATGATAACTAAATGTTCGAGGACGAACATTCTAATTTTGGGGAGATAATGTTATGATACGACATGAGCCAGATTATAGATTCTGGGCATCCTGTATAATACGAAGGACGAAGAGTCTAAACATTCCTGATCGGGGTTACCCCTCACCTACTGTATAGAAGGGTTCCGAACTATAAAGGAGCGTGAGGCTGAGACATCCCTGAAGAAGGATAACACTTTTTAGACATCGAGAATACGACAGATAGACTAGGCCTAAAAAAATTCCTTGGGTCTTTTTCTCTGCACTTGTTGGCTTTCCGTGACACATATATAAAGCCGTTTTCACGTACTTGAAACTGCTTCTTTTTTTTCTTCAACCCAGAGCAGACTTGAAAATTTCTAATCATGAGCACGGAAGTGGAAGACAAACAACTCGACCAGAGCTCGGCCAGCTTGCACATCAAGGAGGAATCAGTGGGCAGTTTCCAGGACGAGGCGACGAAAAGCGAGCTCGATCGGATCTACCGCAAATTGGACCGGCGCATCATTCCTGCGCTCTGGTGTCTTTATTTCCTCACGTCGTTCGGTTCCAGTGCCTACGGTACGACTTTGACAATGAACAGTTCAGATGGACATTCGCTTGGCCAGAAGCTTGACTTGACCTCCAAAGACACGTCCACTGCCTCGGCTTTGTACTACGTCGGGTACATTATTTTTGATGTGCCCATGAATTTGATCATGACAAAAGTGAGCCCGCAGTCGTGGTTGGCCCGTATTGTCATTACCGTCGGTTTGGTTTATTCGTGCTACATTGCCCTCGAATCCTCAGGTGCTTTGATTGCCGTGCGGTTCATCTCGGGTGTGGTTGGGGCAGGCACGTGGCCCGGCATGTCTTACTACATCTCGTTGTGGTACCCGAACGAAAGACTGACCCGCAGAATTGGCTACTATTTCACCGCTGCACAGATCTCTGCCGCTGCTGCTGGTTTACTCAGTGCTGCGTTCCAGAAAATGGATGGCATTCATGGTTATACAGGCTGGCAATGGTTGTATTTGGTTTACGGTTGTGTAACCATTGTCGTGGGCATTTCGCTTCTTTGGTGGCTCCCAGACCGCCCATATCAACTCTCCGACAAGACTCCAGGAAAGTACATGACGATTTACAACAAGTACTTCACGACTGCGCATCCACTCAACCCTGAGGAACGCGAGATCCACCGAAAAGATATCCAGAGCAGATATGTACTCATCAAATGGACGTGGAAAGACGTGTCAGCCATTTTTCTCGACTTGAGATTGTGGCCCATTATTATGATGTACTTTGGTGTGGTTGGTACTGGTTTCGGCTTGGCTGTGTTTGGCTCTACCATCATTGCGGCAAACAACCCGTCGCTTTCATCGATTAACGTTTCGCTTTTGTACGCTCCAATATGGCTTTTTGACTTGGCAGGAATCTTGCTCATCACCCCGTTCGCCGACAGGTACAAGAAACACAGGGCCTTCTTCTTTTCCGGTGCATGTCTCATAATTATTACTGGGATGTTTGTCACTACTTTTGCTAACGGCTCGTGGAACAGATATGGAGGGCTCCTCATTGCCGGCTTTGGCTTGGGCCCTACTGTTCCAATCTGCATGTCATGGTCTGCCGAAATTTTTGGCCCCGTCTATGGGGACAGTGGAATTGCCGTGAGCTCTGCCTTGGTTTCCGGATTGGGTAACTTGGGCTCTGTGACCGCTACCTATGCTCTCTACCGCGGCTGGCCCTCAGATGCAGCAAGGTTATATCGGAACTCCAACATGGTATTAGTAGCCATGTTGGGAATCAGTATCATATTTTCCTTTGTGTGTCATTTCATCAAGGATAGAGTGGGAAGAACCTTATGAGAAGACAAATATCGAGGGTGGCAAGTTAATGAGTGAGTTGTTACGATTTAGACATGAGGTATTCAAAGTATATTTATATCCGAGATCAGCATCGTAGCAGGAGAAACAAATTCTCTGTCGTTTTATGATACCTTGTAATCTCATGATGTCCTAGGCACTCAAATCACCGTCTGTCTGCAAAATCAGACGATCATGTTGAGCTGCTTGAGATATCACATGATATGCGACAATTATTCCGGAAGTAGTCACAAACGTAACTCTTTTTTTTCTTTCAACGGAGGATGTTTAATTTCGGTGTGTTACCATTAAGAACTGAGACACTCTCAATATTTGTGTACCTACCAGCAAGAATGTATGTTCATTTCAATTTCAGGGAGATCCAGTAGCGAGAAATCATTTACTTGTACATGTGCAATAATTAAATATGCTGCATACTGCATGTTTTACTTCTCATGGTTGCAGCCATTTATGGAAGAACACCAAATAAAACGAAATACTGTAGGCTGAAACAGTACTTACATTAGTATTCCATCTAGTAGAGAGGGAAGACTTGTTTTTTCCGGCGTGGAATTCGAAAAAGCTGCAAATACAAAGCACTGCCTAAAGGCTCGATCCCCTTAATGTCTGTTTCCTCGCCAGCTATCATCCAAAGCCTAGGCTGTTTTTTGCAAAAAGATTGCAGCACCACAATTTCGCATATGGTCTCCCACTACACTACTCAGTGTGGCCCTATGCAGCTTAACTAACGTTGATCGGACGGGAAACAGTGCTTCCTGCATGGTATGGCCGCAACCGAAAGTTATTATGTTGAGTATGTGATATGAATTTGTGTGCTAGCTTTAATTACTATTCCTGTGAACACTGGTGAATTTTGTGGTTTACATTTGAACTAAATCTATTGATAGCAGGTGGTAGGAAAGTTTAGTTTCCTTCAATATCAGAAAAAAATAGAAAAAAAACTTTTATTGGTTTTTCTTTATGGTTTTTTTGTCAGTGATGTGATCCTACATCCCTCCAGTGACACCCTATAATATGCTGATCTTTCAGAAATAAGTAAATCCGAATTACTGCAGAATGAGTCAACATATTAAGACTGAACTGTTCATGAATACATCTGTATGTATTCAAGAGACAGCCAGTAGCCTGTTTCAAAATGCGACGAATAGTTTAAGTATCCATTCGTTTCATAACAGATTTGGTCACTGCCTCTATAGGAATTATACATAAGCTCCATCATCATTTACTTCACTGATATCCCATTGTTACTCCATTGTCAGCAACACTTAAATATGTGAGGCGAGTGAAGCCGATAGTCCCATTTAAAAACCAGAAAATTCCATGAAATGCATGTCTCACCTATATTCTACCAAGATTTATTTCAAAGTGTTCTGGTAAGTTCTGGAATATAGTTAATTGTAGAGTACGAAACGCACATTTTGAAAGAATGACCTGGACATTGTAGTGTCGTAATCCCCCAGCATACGTCAAGGATCTCCTCGAACATGAAGGTGGCCGAACTTTTTGACCAGGTGAAAGGGCCTGAGGTAGATTCTGGTTAATCAATATATATCTCTATATGACCGTCGTGATACTAATTCCCAGACTCTAACCTGAAAAAGTTCTGAGGAGCATCAGTGGGTATTATGCTACCATCTAGCCGAGAGGAAAAAACAACGCTCTATTGTAAATACTGGAAGGAGTCACATATATTACCTGGAGAGCTGAAGAAGATGCTTGTATACTTCTCTCTTTTAGTGAGCGGTCCGACACCAAGTGCGATTTCCTGGAGTATTCCAGGTTTTCAGGGCGAGGATGATAGACTTGTGCGGCCAGCTTCTCACATTGTGAGCAGAGAGGCGCCCACTTTCTTAGTAAGTAAGACTTCAATAGGAGAGTGTTGCAAAGGAAGACCTAGGCCACTGGATCGAGCTGTCACATCACGGAAGTAGCCCAAAAATACCGTTGGGTGCCGTCTTCAAAGCGGTGGATCAAAAAAGTCAGCTTGCCTTCGATTACAATGAGCTCTCAAGATAGACATCGTAACGGAATTTATATTAAATGGAGCATTGTTCTCTATATACTGGCATTTGACCTCTCAGGTTGTCCTTTTTACATCTATTTCTATCAACGAAACGGCCCCAAGAAGTCTCAAGGAACCGTTCCATGGAACACATCACAACTTTCAAAGATCAATTGAGTGATATATGTCTTAAACACTAGTATCAGAAAGGTAGAGAAGATACTGTAGCCCGACGGATGATAAGGTTTTTGAAAAATGGAGTTAGTGAAACGTGAATTACTAAGTGCGTACTTGGAAACTCACTGCCAGCAATAACTTTTACATCAAGATCTCTAACTCTTAATCAGGAGCTTTTCACCGAGGACCTCCCGTGCTCAGCTTTCTGAGTGTGATCTGTGAGACAATGCTGTAGTATGATGACATGGGGATTCGTGAAAGCCAACCATGATTTAATACGTGGGGCTCTTGTTGGTACTGCCTGAAAGCAGCAGAGTTCAAAGTGGCCTTTTTTTCAATTATTTTTGCGCAGAGCTATGCTTCACTGCTGTGTGTCGAAACATCGAGCTGGGATCAACCAGTGTAGAGATGTAATATCCAAGGCTTCTTGGAAGACACGGTCATCTGCTCTTTGGGTCTCTTACACTAACTTCGACGCATTTGATAGGCACTATAAATATTTTGGTTGTTTTGGTAGGGCATATTCCTAAAACGCGGTAGATACGATTGTGGCTAAATCAATTAGTGCAGTAAACAAAACGAGTCCCCCATGACCGAACTATGCAATAGAAATCAGTGCCCTCTTCTTGTTTGGACCTCATTGCACTATTTCATGGGGTCCTCCCTGCTGCCTGCTACATTTCATGATAATGTAGTCTCTTTCTTCATCGCAAAATGAAGCTGTATTATAGGGGAGATGGCAAAAGGCGGCCTTGCATTCTGACTCTTTTGACTACGGCTTCTTTTGGAACTAGAATTGCTAGTCAGTTGCATACAAATTCACAGACTTTGAAGACGCCTCAGAATAGCAGTCTACGCCAGAAGTTATTCAAATGTTTTACACTTGAAGGCCGAGAGCCTTGGACCCCTATCGTCGATTTCACTCTCAAGTAGTAGGCAGGCTCATATTAGAATCTCATATCTGAACACCACATGTATTCTGAATAAGACGTTGTGCATTTGTGGCGTTTGTTATGGATTCAAGAAATGGTGAAGTTTCTTCTGTTTTTGTTTTTTATCCTCTTTTGTACAAGAACCTTCTCATCGCTGTAATAAACACTGCACTACTCTATTGCACTAATACGGACCCTTCAAAAGCCAGTTCTCCGCAAAACCTCCAAAAAGCAACCATTCCAAACCCACAATTCACAAACCTCCCATCATCATTCATCAGAACAAATGCCAGAAAACACTGCGGCCTGTGCTCCAGAACAGAAAGCCCAAGACGAAAATAGAAACAGCTGCTTGCCCAGCTCATCAGCACACGCGCCAGGAATTGGTCCGGGACTGCATGTGGCGGGCCAAACCGCGCCAAAAAAAAAATAAGCCCGATGCCAGCTGCGGCCCATCTCTCTCCACACCGGGCTCATCTCACGATTTCTCGCGTTTGTCTCTTTTTCTTATTCTTGCAATTTTTCGGCACACCAAAACCAAAGAAAAAAATAGCATTATAACCATCATGTCCGCCACAGACAAGGCTACTTTGCCCGCCACAGAACAACACTACTTCTCGTCGTACGACCATTTCGGCATCCACGAGGAAATGCTCAAAGACACCTCGAGAACTTTGCTGTACCGTCTGGCCATGTTCAAAAACAAGCATTTGTTCAAGGATAAGGTCGTTCTTGATGTCGGCTGCGGAACGGGCATCTTGTCCATGTTTGCTGCCAAGGCCGGCGCCAAACACGTGTATTCCGTCGACATGTCCAGTATCATCGATAAGGCTAAACAGATTGTCTCTCTCAACGGATACGCCGACAAAATCACGTTGGTGCAGGGCAAGTTGGAGGACATCAACTTACCTGTGGACTCCGTGGATATTATAGTGTCGGAGTGGATGGGCTACTTCCTCTTGTATGAGTCCATGTTGGACACCGTGTTGTATGCGCGTGATAAGTACTTGGTTCCGGGCGGCTTGATCTTGCCCGACAAGTGTCTGATGTACATTGCTGGAATTGAGGACGGCAACTACAAGAACGACAAGATCCACTACTGGGAGGACGTGTACGGCTTTGACTACACGCCGTTCATTGAGATTGCCATGAGCGAGCCCTTGGTGGACACGGTGGAGAACCTGAGCTTGATCACCACGCCCCACAAATTCTTCGAGTTTGACATCAACACTGTTAAGAAGGAGGACTTGGCCTTCCACCGCTCGTTTTCCTTGAAGGCCATTGACGCGGACTTGTGCCACGCTTACATTGTGTGGTGGGACTGTGATTTCCCCGGTGATGAAAAGGTCACCTTGCCTACGGGGCCCATGAACCACTACACGCACTGGAAGCAGACCGTCTTCTATATGGACCAGGTGCTTGACTTGAAGAAGGGCGATCTCATTGAGGGCACGATTGACTCCAGACCAAACGGACACAACCCAAGAGACTTGGACATCCAAATTGAGTGGGGCGTCAAAACCGCCGGCCAGGACGCGTCCAGAGAGCTTGAGGGTAAGTACAACTACATCATGAGATAAATGGGGAAAGGCCAAGCAGGCGGGCCCGCGCCGGAGACGTATTCTTACATAACAGAGTAGCATTTTTACCACTGCATTAAACACTTTCATCCATGGGCACAAACATCCGTTTATTGGTTTTGATGTGCTTTAAACGAGCCCCGGACCCACTGCTGCGATCACTTGTATGGTTTCTGGACGCATGCCATTATGACGGTGCTTGGGGATAATGGCCCGTGCTTCCAATGTCAATTTCTGCATGGGTCAATGAATGTCAGGACTGGCACTCCATAGTATGAGTAGTTCAGTGCAAATATCAAGCTTCCCTCTAGATGGATTGGCTTTCGCCTCAAACCAAAAATAGATATTGAAGATCTGTGGCAGAAGTATAAGGACAGGTTTCTAGTTTCAAGTGAAGTCGTATTTTAATGCGAAAAAGCCATGTATTAAGCAACATGTGACTACGTGAAGATTTTGGAAATGGTCGGCAAAAATCCGGACATGACCCGTTTTAGCTAAAACCTTCATAGATCACGACTGATACAACAGCAAACCTCCGCGTGAAGAAAAATTTCTGGGGCGATCTTTCAGAATCCAATTTTGTATCTTAACGCTTCGTGCGGAGAGCCCCACAAGAGCGCACCTCACAAGGTGACTCGTTTCTTCGGAAGCTTTTTAAATGTGACTCCCGAAAATTTGAGATTCTCTTGGTCGAACTTTTTGAATATTGCAAGACTTTTTGAATACCGCAGGGGTGGCATGAAATCCAAGAATACCGCCTCTTATGGAAGATTAGTAAGCCCTCTTACGGTATACGTCGGCCGTGGCCGCCTGCACGTACCAACAAATTTCATAAGTCCCCGAAGCTAAACATTGGAAAGCCTCATTAGCCGCTGCTGCATATGTGGTGAAGAACTTGCTTTCACCTCTCTTCTACAGAGATTGAGTAAAAAGCACTGCCTTCACATGTTTCTTCAATCTTAGGACTGTCTCTTAGAGGTGTCCGTGATAGACTTGCTCGCTGTAGGTGTATCGTATTCAATAATATCCTCTCTCGTATTTGAACCAGGATACTTTCCAGAATACTGCACCGTGCAGATACGCAGAAGCTGCAAAACGCCACCGAGAGCTCCTCACCTTTATCATTAGGGGCTTCGAGAAATTCATTACTAATACTCACAAGCCAGCAAATGCCTCTTTCTCCAAGTTTATATAAAGATGACATTCTTACTGTTTTGGAATCCCATCAATCACTTCATAAAAACAACTCACCATGACTCTCTCTTCTGGTTCAAGCTTCCCCACAGGAGTTGAACTCACATATATTCCTATCGACTTGGCTACTATCAAACAGGCCAATGCCTTGGGTTGTGCTAAGCCATTCACATTGAAGGTAGACAGATTGATTGAGCAGAATGCAGACTCAAACATTTTGTTTGTGTCCGTGCCTGTGGCGTTTGCACCAACATGTACCGAGGGCCACAGCCAGCCGTTTTTGGCTCATTTGGAGAAGTTGAAGAAGGAGAAGGATATTTCGGTTCTCATTATCTTGAGTGCCAATGACCCGTTTGTGATGAATGCCTGGGGTAAGTTGTTGCTTCAGAACGCTGACTTCAATCCGGACTCGGAGTTGCCAAAAGTAATTTTTGCCAGCGACCCCAATGCGGAGTTTTCCGTAGCAAACGGAATGGCGTTGGATTTGACTAACGAGGGTTTGGGGATAAGAACGGGCAGATATGCCTTTGTGGTGAGGACAGGAACCAGATCCGTTGTATATTATGGTATGGACCCAGGACACGACGATGTTGTAGCCAGTAGTTATGAGACTATAGAGACGGCACAGTTTTGAAATACAAATAAGAATAAAAAGTGGTTTCTTTAAAAACTACTAGTGTAGCAGCTCAGGAGCCTAGGTTAAAGATCGTTTGACCCGAAGGCTCACAAATAATTTCCCGGCAAAGTCTGAATGGACAGTTTGATTATAAAATTCTGATTGTGAATAATCACCTGGGTATGGGAGATATAACAACGTAGTCCTGACCCTTTTCATGAGTTTGGCAAGAGACCGGCTTCAAAACCGAGCAGGATTTCGCATGTACTCATATTACACTTGACAGTTAGTCCCGGCCAACCTGATAATTATACAAGTATATTAGTTTGTGCATCGGAAATGCCCAGGTTCCAAAAGCCTCTTTTGCAGATCACACGTAAAGACATATCTCTTGGCATGCGCGATCTCTGTCACCAGATTCTTATGAACTTTTTTAGACCCACACAATATTAAGTCTCAAAACGAGAATTATCTCTACCAGTTTGGAAAGGAAAACTTTACCCCGCATGTTGTTCGACTCAGCCTTGCAAGGTTCACTGCGAGGCTGAGCAGATGACAAATTGCGACTTGCGCATATTCCGTGAGTCTCCTCATGTTCCGATATTTCCTCATATTCTATGGATCTACGCAAGTCATGTATCCTATGGAACAATATGGCTATATGGATTTGTGCTGCTCCTGCGGCCGCTGGAATTCGAGCTAACTTGAAACATGCAAACTTCTAGCTATTTACATCGAAGCATAAGACCGCACAATGTCGGCCCAACGAAAAAGAAAGAACATCATAATTTCAGCAATCGTATTGCGACTGTCGAAGTTCCATCACTCAATTTATGCAGCGAGGCGGTTGCTTTGTAAAAATGTCCAGAAAATCAGAGATACCGTCTGAAGACAGTCACATGACCTTGAGCCATGTACACCTGCACACAATCCCAAGCGTGGGGTCAAGTTTCCCAATGTTTGCCACCTCGGCCAACTCTGTCATATATAAAGGCAAACGGAGTGTAGCCAATTCGTCTATAATCAACACATATACTTTTTGAGGCCAAAGAAAGGAGACTAGGAAACACGATTTTCCAGCCCAGACATCGGAATTTCATGAAAGCGGCTCGAGTTCTCACCAGACAACGGCTCTCCATATTTTCATCGAAACATTACAGTAGATTCCCACCACAGCCCACTTTCAAGCCCAGATTTTACACCATGAAAACCGACCAGGAATGGAAAGCTGTCTTATCTCCGGAACAGTTCCGTGTGCTCAGACAACTGGGTACCGAGGCTCCTTTTACTGGCGAGTATGTAAAAACTCCTGCCGGCGAAGGCGAATATCTTTGTGTGGGATGTGATCAGCCGCTTTACAAGGCCAATACCAAATTCCCTGCACACTGCGGATGGCCGGCCTTTTACGAGGCAATTCCCGGCTCGATCAAGACAATTGAAGACAAGCTGTTAGGCATGACTCGGACGGAAATGCGTTGCTCGAAATGTGACGGTCATCTCGGTCATATTTTCAAGGGTGAGGGATACAAGACCCCGACTGACGAGAGACACTGTGTCAACAGCATTTGCTTGAAGCTCAAGGATTAGGAGTTGGGAAAGGATGGAGTGATTTAGGGAAGAAATAAACGTTTTAGAAACCAAAAAAGCTGTTTCGTTTAGTCGATCTTTGTACTTGATCATGCGTGGCTCATACCCGATGAGGTTTTGGGCTGTAGAATCCATAGTGTACAAGGCGCTGCATGGATTGGAACCTTTCGATGAAATGTCCGAGTATTGCTTTCCAAGCATAATTTCACAGTGGTGATGATTGTCAATTAATTTTCAGAGATGTGGTCAGTTTCTTAAGACAACGAGGAATTATTTGTGAGTTATGGGCGAGAAAGGCCAATAAGCTGTAGATATAGCGTTTAACGCAACGTAATTAACTAAGCATGCATGTTACATTGCGGACAAAAAGGGGCGTAAAAATATTTGGAGCAGGTAGTCTTCACTTAGCATAGTCTTGAGAGCTGGGAAGAGATTCGTTCATAATAAGAGAAATGCTTAAGTGTAAGATCATCATTCAATGCAATTACTCGCTTCTTTTGCTCCTCTTTGACTTGGATCCCAGATATTAAACGCCAGTCAGAGAGAAAATTCGATATAAGATTATGATTCGTGTAATTTGAGAGTCAAGACTCGGAGAAAATTGCTTAGCGCTTGCAAACCATTATTGACATGGAGGGGGAAGGGGGGTGTCACAATAATATGCCTAAGATTGAAGGAACAATCATCAGTATCTATTGAAAAGAATAGGTATCTAAAAGAAAACAGGATCTGGCCTGATATGTAACCCTAATGCATCCTGAATAAAACATGTTACAATGTATCAGTAAGAAAAAATAGGAAACTTATTCTCCACTTGGAGCCCTCGAAAAAAAACCAACTACACACCACTCTCTGATCACACAAAGTGTTTTCCGAAGATCAATAGAGCTTGGGTCTTCTGTTGCCATAATGTAATCAGCTGCTATTCAATGCAAAAAATCGGGCCTGGAACGTAAAATACCGAATAAACAGCAGGAAAATAGTTCTCATATACAACATTAAACATAACGCACAATAGCATCTAAAAACTTCTGTGAAAACGTTTCGAACGCGTCATCCAGAACAATAGCAGTGCAAATAACTATGGGTGCCCATCGTCCGAGCGATTAAATGCACATATTTACGTCTAAACATTATCTCCAGCAATTGTCAAAAGCCCCGGATAGCACCAGCCGCCGCAACTGGCGTCTACTGAATCTAAACCAAGAAAGGGATGAATTTTGCCCGCTTCAACTTCTTGTACTCGTCACCAAAAGTGGACAAGTACCGTCTATTCTTCTTGAGCGCCCACATGTACATCTGAGTGCTGCTGATCACAAGGAACAACCAGGCGCTCCAGTTGCCAACCAAAAGCGCATACAGGAGCCACGACAAAGACTCGAAGAAGTAGTTGGGACACACGACCCAGTCGAAGCCGTAGCCGTAGGGAATCGCGTACGCCTTCTTATCCGTGGATCTGATGCCGGCCAACTTCACGTGGGTGATGAAATTCGAAACCTCGGCAAAAACCCACAAAGCCACCAAGGCATAGTTGAGCAGCTGGGGCCACGTGTTCACATGGAACAAGAAGCTTGCCAAGGGACCCGCAGCCTCCAAGCTGGTAGGGCTATACGAGTATACGAACACCGACAAGTTGACGCCCGAGAGAATCCAGTAGTGGCCCGAGTTCTTGAACAAGTTAAACAACGGCATGGTCGAGTTGGAGAACCGGTGCACGAAAAGCGTCTCGTATTCTCTTTTCACGAAATGCAAGACGGCCAAAACAAGCGCCAACTTCTGAGTCTGGCTCTGCGCCACACCAAACAAAACGGCAGCCACAAAGTACACCACCAGGTGAATCAAAATCGGGCCCAAATACTCCAAGAGAAACACGGTTTGCCATGCGATCTGGCGCCCCAAGTCCTTGGCATACAAAACAACCTCGCCCAGCAAGCTCTGTGCATCAAAATGCTCGGTAAGAGTGGAGTCGGAATCCACGGGCTTGTGTTTGCCGTCGGCGCCCAATACCGAAAGTTTGACCTGAGATACAGGCAACTTGCTATTGGCGGCTACTTTCTCATAGATTCTAGATACAGAAAAAGATACCAAATCCTCGGAAAAGCCCTTGATGGAGGGCGAGCGGCTCTTGACAGTGATGAGCGACATGGGACTATCGAATTGCCTTCTCAGCGAAGAGTTTGCTGTTTTTTTTTATGTTTTTTTTTAGCGGTGGTTTTTTTCTGTTGTATTTTGCGTGCGCTGAATGTAGTTTTGTGGGGCGGGTGCGGGCACCCAGCACCGTCAGAGGGCTACGGAATTGGCGGAAATGAGAAGGAAATTCAGTGCACGAAATTTGGGCGTGTTTCCACTTTTTGCAAATAGCGTTTGATGTGATCTTTCCCCTTGGTTAATTGAAGTGGAGCACGTTTTGTATTTTCGAGTTGTTTTGATTGGAGAGGTGTCATGGAGCTGTACTGGAGTAATGAGTGGCACGGATCTAAAATGGCCACTACTGACATCTGATGTCAGCTAATATATTACACGCTTCAATAATCCTACAAGCTTTCTAAATAAGCCATATGGGAGGAAGATTTCTGGAAGCTTTGGAAATGAAGGCATACGGGAGTACCATATTACCTGAATATCTTCATAATGTCCTTTGGCCAACAGGCCTAGTCTATAGCACGGTATTGTTTGTATATTCATTTCTCTGCATCAGTCTGCCAAGTAGAAATATCCACACTATCTTGATGTATGACTTACAAAGCATAAAGTCCATGTACCATGAACGCGTTCGGAAATGAATGCAATTAAAGCCAGGCAGGACTTGGGCCTCGGCAACGCGAGTTCCTCGGTCCTTCCAGAACATACAGAACCGAAGATAAAAGTGAAAATATGTCACAAAAAGCAATGATTTGGGAGAATTTTTGGATGAAAAGACTTTTGTGTTTTCCTATCTTCGCTTATCAGCATCACTGTTCAAAATTCAAAGTCCCATCGATTGAACGAAAACAAGGCTGATCCCAGAGCCAGCGTGAGTGTCAATCTTGACCCGCATATGTACCAAGTGGTTTGTATATCATGATCCATTTGGTGCGCCTATCCGTTTGTACTTTTTGTTATAGTTTTAACATTTTATAGCCGATTCTTGTAGCCAGTGTGAACCTGGGCCTCTAGAGCCGATCTGCTCTTTTCTACATTTTGCGACGCGGAAAAAATGGGTGCAAAATACCACAATGTCTATCCGCGCAGAGTATTGCACAGCGGACGAATATTCATATTGTCGAATTGCAAATGAACTGTTATGTTCAACAAAGTCTACATTGTAAGGATTCAGCTTTGGGCTGGGATTGGAATCAGTTTATGCTTGACTGAATTTGGCCGATATGGGGCAGAAAGTTATAGGTCAATTGCATGGAATGGCTCGGGAACTCTTATTCAAGAAACTAATGAACCAATGCTGGCACGGGCCATTGAGGTTTTTTAGATGCAAATATGAGGCAAGAATAACGAAAGCCTCGGACTGAGTGGGAGGAAAATTGGCAGATTTGCAGTTCAAACATGGTTCAAGCGGGAGACTGGTAGACGCTTCAATTTCCGAAACCACACGGGTGTGAAGATAAATGGCTCAATACAGTTCGACATATTCTCATGGCTGATTATCTGACTGTTTTGGGCCCGAAAAAATGATGATCTTTTTTAAAGCGACAATCAACGCTCTTTTTTGGGAGTATGCTTGGCGAAATATATCCATAGACGTAATAAAGGCCGACTAGGAAGAAGGCAATCGAGGATTGCTATGCTTAGCTAAAGATCATGGGTTTGGACACAACAGGCCAGGGATGATTCTGATGTCAATTATGGGTCGAATGCATTTTTATTTGAAGAAGGTGATATGGCAGATTTATTCAGATAAACCCTAGCAAATGATGAAGAAAGTGTACAGGTGGCGCGTGCCTAATACCGAGATGTACTACTAGCTGGATAAAAATCGGATCTAGTGTTATGCTGGGTGCCGTCTCAAAAATTGGCAATAGTCCGGAATTGTCTATATATAATGATCTTGATTACCCAGAAGACAAGATTTGCGAAGGACCGCTCCCAAAACGGTCCCACGCGATATTTGGTTTAATTATTTAGTCCAGGAGGTTCTTTCCAGATGCAGTTTTAGGTTTTATGACAGTAATTTAACTCCCCCCAGCAAGGAGGTCACATCAAGCCATGCACCAGTTCATAGCCATGGAGCCACCCGCCACTTGGCACCAACAAAGAGAACAATTAGAAAAAGAGATGAGAAAGAGAGTAACAATTGAACGACAAGAGAAATCTCAAAGGAAAATATATGGAATAGATAAAAAAAAAAGAAGAAAAATATTCATTAGGCAGCTGTTGCCATGCCCAGCAACTGCTCTGACCATGAGACCCCAGCAAATTGCTTGCTCGCTCGCAAAGCAAACACACAGGCAGATCCCATATAGCAAGGCACGCTTACTGAACAAGATCCATGAGTTTCGCCGAGACGCTGATGCATGAATTTCCCAAACCCTCCGAAAAGCAAAACATAGCAAGCCCAGCCCCATGACTGCCAGGGAATTAGGGCCTGCAGAGCTATATCTGGCCGTGTCTGCAGGACCGATATCAGGGCTTGACGTTGGAGCTCGCCAGTGTGCGGCAGGCATATAGACGTGGCAAAAACTTCCATCATGATCCACGGTCACGTGCCGCCCCCAACGTTCGCGCGGGCATATATATCATACGACGAGCTCGGCGTCAGAAGCCATCCTTCCAACCCCACTTGCTTTTGCCTTAGCCTCGACATTCCAGGTACACAGAGTCAAAAGTCGAATATTCAGAACCATTGTTCATCATCCACCACCCTTCCCCAAGCTCACTTAACATCCACGGAAATACATCATGTCGGACTGGGACAGCGTTACTATGATTGGCCAGAAAGCCCGTGTTGGCGGCGGCGGCCCAAGAGAAAAGGTGGCCCGTACGCAGGCCGAGTTGAATGCCGCCAGACGTGCCGGCGGCGTTTTGGGCACCGAGAAAAAGTACGGGTCCACCAACGTGAAGAGCAACCCCGAGGGCCAGAGATTGACCAAGTTGGACAACACGGACGACGTGGTGTCGGTCAAGAAGGTGGACGTGTCCGTGGGCAAGGCCATTTCCCAGGCCAGACAGGAGAAGAAGCTCACGCAGAAGGACTTGGCCACCAAGTGCAATGAGAAGCCGCAGGTGATCAACGACTATGAGGCCGGGCGCGCCGTGCCCAACCAGCAGATCTTGGGTAAGATGGAGCGCGCCTTGGGCGTCAAGTTGCGGGGCAAGAACATCGGCGAGCCCTTGTTTGCGAAGAAGAAGTAAGCCGCCCACACACACGCTAATGAAATGTTATGCCTGCATCGAAACACATCAACGTTATTTTTTCTCTTTGTTCCTTGGAGCATTCCTTCTCGTTTCAGACTATATCTTTAATAAATGAGCCGTGACGGTTTTGGAATGGGTTAGTTGGTTTGTAGGCGGGGGCCGAGCGAACGGCAGCGCCCTCGAGGGGAATCGCCCAGGAGTGGGCTTCCCCAAGTAAGCGTGAAACAGCATGTAGCAGCATGCATCCCTGGCGCGCAGGCGCTTACGCTCGCGATGACGGCGGACAGGCTCGTGGTCTCACCGCAGTGGTCATTCAGGGACTCCATGGTCGCCTGAGGATCACAGGTGTCTGGATGGCGCCTCCACGCACCATGCCACCGGCACCAGCGCCCTCTCCCCAGTTCTCAGACGTCGTGAGTGTTCCTGCGCTCGAGCGTCGCAGGGGCTGCCCCACGGTCCTCTAGGCTGCCCCCACGGTCCTGTAGGCTGTTTCTGGTCCCATAGTTCGCAACGGGCCCCGCCATCTGCTTCCCCGGGCCCCCCTACCGGGCCTCTCGCGGCAGCGGCCGCTCCGGTATCCCCCGGGGCTTCAACAGCAGCTCAGCAGCAGCAGCGCCGCGCGCCCCGCCAACTCCACCTTCCGGGCCTGGACGCCGCGCCGCGCACCCGCCTCTTCGACCGGCAACGCCCGCGCAATCTCGTCAAACAAGCCCGCGACGCCGTCGCCAGACTTGGCCGAGCACTCGCGGAGAATCACGCGCGGCGCCCCGCCGGCGCTTTCGCGGGCCGCCGCCTCGAGCTGCGACACGTACGCCTGGACCTCGGCGGCGTCGACCTCGCGCGCGCTCGCCAAGTCGGCCTTGTTCCCCACGAGCGCCACGACTATGCCCTCGGGCGCCTGGCGGCGCAACTCGCGGATCCAGTCCTGCGCCCGCGCAAACGACGCCTTGGAGGTGATGTCGTACACGCACAAGGCCGCGTGCGCGTTGCGGTAGTACATGGGCGCCAAGCTCTTGTACCGCTCCTGCCCCGCGGTGTCCCAGATCTCGAACTTCACGGTGGCGTTGAGCTCGGGCAAAGCGACGGACTGCGTGAGAAACGCCGCGCCGATAGTCGACTCCCGCATGTCGTCAAAAGTGTTCTTGACGAAGCGGTGCACGATGGACGACTTGCCGACGGCAGACTCGCCGAGCAAAACCAACTTGAACGACGCAAACTTGGGTTCTGCCATGGTCTGGACACGCGGTGGTTGTGCGTTCTAGATGCAGGTGACGCGGCAGGCGGCTCGCCTGTTTTGTTCGCCTGTTTTGTTTCCGAGGTAGCGCTTTGTGGGTGCGCTTTGTGGGTGCGCTTTGTGGGTGCACTTTGTGGGTGCACTTTTGTGGTTGCGCTTTTGAAGTTGCGCTTTTGCGTTTGCACTTTTGAGTTTACGACTTTGTGCTTGCGGCCTTCTGCTGTTCTTGTTTTGGCCGGGATCGGGTATCTGGCGTAGATAGGCTTTGGATCTCGGCGGCTAGAGGCTGCGCGGACAGGTCGGGATCTGGTCAGAATCGGTCGTTTTTCCCCGGGATTTCGGCTGTAGGGAATCCCGTCACTGGTGGTTTGTACAAGCTGGCCGCACGTAGAAAGTAATGCAGCTGTGGACGGGTTTTGGTGGCCGTGTCTGTGGTTCTGGGGGTTCATGAGGGGAGCCACGCACTTATCAGCCGCCATATCGCTGGTGTACGGGTGTGGCTACCCGGGCCGTCCAAAGGGGCTGTGGTCTGTGGATGCTGCTGGAAAGTGAAATAATAGCAAAAGCGCCGATCTAAGAACATAGAGGTAAAACTCCGGGCGCATCGGATGAATAGTGTGTCTGGATGATACGCCTTGTAATTATCACTTCCATTTATGTTGTATCTCTCTTGTCACGAGACATGGCACGCAGTCACGAGCCGGTGCTTATGCAGGACCATGTATATTCCCAGACCTTTACATGGTGGAAGGCTAAGGATCTAATAGCCCTGAGGTCCTGTGAATTATGCATTTTTCCTCAGAATACGTGCTTGAGACCGATCAGCCACTGCCAAAGCCCCTTGGGTTTCTGGAACTCAGACAGTTTGAGCTGGGCAGCTATTAGTGGGCCACGCACGACCCATTCATTTATTAGGGTGGCCATTGAATTATTAAAGTGGCCATTGATTTATTAGGGTGACTGATCTTCCCAATCCGGCCCAGCATGGTCTTTGCCAAAGACGTGGGGTTATTATATGTAGCAGTATATGTTCTTTTTGAAGCTGGCCGTGTCTTCCTGCCTGCTGTGTATTTTGTCTTGTATTTTCATTGATGTCCTGATGACAGTGAATTCTTCCGGACTACTTGGCTGGGCCGTACTGCCTAATTCGCCTTCAAAATCCTCGAGGCATCAGGCCCGTTCTTCTCTTCCATTCTTGTGTTCTGTAGTTCAGACACTTCCAGATCCATCCGCTGGATTGGCACACCCACGTGTGGTCACGTGCTCTTACGGTCCAGAGCCAAGAGCTTCGATTCACTCAGTTCAAGCATTCAGTCCTTTTGGTTTGTCTTATAATTTCGCCCAGCCCCGATATATAACAATCTTTTCAGGATACCTGTGCATCTATTGGTTTGGGGTGTCTGTGATAAATGACCCTGGTTTCTGCTCACGATCTAGCCTTCTTTCGAAAGTCATCATGTAATTCCACATCATAGAGAATGAAGGTGTTTACTTGAAAAAAGATACGTCTCATGGATCAAAAATGTGCTGTTGAAATAATCATTAAGAAAATGAGACACCATGGAAACTGGGCGCTTCAATATACTGCAATGCCTCACAACTAAGGCATACTGAGTTAATGACACTGACTTGTGCAATGACTAACATGCTGACATTGTTAATACACTGGAATTGTCTGAAATTCTGACGCTGTCGGATATGCTGACACTGTTTCTACATTGTTATATTGTCAATATACTCATTGTGAATATACTAAATTATTAATATACTAAATTATTAAAATACTACATTGTTAACATACTACACTGACTAATATACTACGTTGACTAACTCACTGACACTGTCTAATCTACTGACACTCTCTCATGTACTGACACTCTCTCATGTACTGACACTCTCTCATGTACTGACACTCTCTCATGTACTGACACTATCAATAATTCTGAAATTGACTAATATAATGACCTGGCCTGCGAGCAAGAAAGCCGGGAAATGAGAAATGTGTGCCCCAACATGCGACAAATTGACTAATCAGACAGCTGCCTCGACATCCGACCTTCCAGAATAACAAAGTTCTTGGGGTGACAGCCAGTATTCTAAAATCCAAACTCCAATTGCAGGACTACACGGAACCAGTAATTTCCGACTCGTCGTTTGGAATTTCTAGACTCCATGATATCCCTATCGCTGCAAGCATTTCTGTAGACATGAGTGATCTTGACGGGGTCTTGATAAGAAAAAGTCCGGAATAGAGGGTGTCTAGAGCAAGATCTTGTGATGACTCGACTGATGTGTCCATTCTTGGAGAGTCACTCTATGTGGGATAAGGCATTGATATACTTGGCCTTTCAGGTGTCCTCTCTCGCCAAAAGACACATGTTCTTGTTCCCAAGCTTGTTTAAATATTCCAGAGCCACTCATATCTCTAAACACTTTGCACAAAGTAATAAAGAAATCCAGTGATGCAAGCCTTGCCTTTAATTTGCCTACTAAAGGCAGGTGCATAGCTCAGTCATTACGGCTAGATCCCAATATGTTGGCATTCAAAGCTTGGGAAATGTTATCGTCAGCCACCACCAATACCCACTGTCCCGATGTCTTAGTTCCGCAGTCTTCTCGGTCAATCGGCTACTCCAAAAGCTCCAAAAGTACTCACCACTTGGGAACTACACAGACTTGGTCCGGCAGACTGATGGAAATCTGAAGACCACTAGCCATGTGAACAAGAACGACAATGTCGCTCGTCACCAAAGGCCTTATCGCTTAATTCATACAAACAACGTTGTCGGAATTGTGGACCAAAAATTAGTGTCCGAAGGCAGTTTTGAGAATCAGGCTGGTTTTCCTATTTCTGGTCGATCGGGATAGCCCGGCCAGTCCGTACCCGTTGACAATGCCCAAACAAGTGAATCTAGACCCTGAAAGGCCCTGAGACCTTCAGGTAATATTCAAGGGTACCGTTCATTTGTAACGAACTTGTGGACCGGAAATAAAAACTGCCCCGGGATGGGCAATCTGCTTCATGGTGCTAAGAGAAGGCGATTCTGAAAGGTTCCTTTGCCCAAAGATCCGCCTAGATTCAGGACTACCATACTACCATATTCCCAGAACACTTGGTTCTGTTTCTCGTGTGGAACCCTTTTTTGCTCGATGAACGCCACATACAATCAGCATACAATCAGCATACAATCAGCTGCAGAGCAGCATGTCGGCTTCTTTTGCCAAAACTATCGCGTTTCGGCATTCTGCTAATCCCGGAAAGCCGCCAGGAGCTAATCTCGGAAAGCCGCCAGGAGCCGGACCCCAGCCCGGGCCCCGCCTAACCTCACGCCTACTGCCATTCACTCGGTACTACTCTGTCCTACGCAAAGCTCTTGCAAAGCGGGTTGTCTATGTACACTGAGCTCTACACCCGGTCTAGTTGTCGATCTTGGCCAAGATCTCTCTGTCGCTGAACAACAAGTACTCGTCCTCGCCAACCTTCACGGGGGCACCGCCGAAGTTGGGCAACAAAACCTTGTCGCCGGCCTGCACCGCAACGGGAATCAACTTGCCGGTGGCGACGTCGGTGACACCGGGGCCGGCGGCAATCACAGTGGCTTGGTTGAGCTTTTCCTGGTTCTTCTCAGGAATGTAGATACCGCTGGAGGTCTTGGTGGCGGGCTTCATTCTCTGCACCAAGACTCTGTCGAATAAGGGCTTCAAGCTGTTGACGTTTTTCAAGAAAGACTGGCGGTTAGTAGGAAGCTTGGCAAACGGGGTCACGTGGCTCCGCTGAGATCTGGCGGGGCACTGGCGTTGGATCCATCAGCAGCTGATCAAGGTGGACCAGCCGACATGGATAATGAGTTTTTGCCGAAAAAGCACCTGCCTATATGACGGGCGTCGTTTCACTATGTTGAGAGTCGACCATATTAAGAGTCGGCCATATGGAGAGTCGCCCATATTGAGAGTCGACCATATGGAGAGTCGGCCATATGGAGAGTCGACCATATGGAGAGTCGACATACCAACTATATCGAGAGTCGACATATCGACTATATCGAGAGTCGAAATATCGACTATATCGAGGGCCGAAATATCAACGATATCGAGAGTCGTATCAACGATATCGAGAATCGACTATATCGAGAGTCACCGAAATCGAGAGTCGACTAAATCGACGTTGGCGGCTATCTCGCCTATTTCAACCATACCGACCATCTCGACTATCTCGATCCCATACCATATGGCCGGCGCCAATATATCCACCAGCATATCGGCGCCGTGGATCCATCCGCTATATCTGCCAACTAGACCAAAATATCATATCAGGTACAAACTATAGTGCCTTCAAAATGCAAAGGGCAAGCGCCGGTGTTACATACCATTTTGTTGAGGAGTTGTTATCCCCACACCCTGGTCAAAATTTTCGTGCTTTTATCTGGGCGCACACCCGTGCACCACGAGTTTCGAGATCTTTCCATGGTTTGCAGCCGCTGGCTCCGGCGCACTAAGGCTAATTCTTCTTTTGGGCCTCGGCGCTTAGCAGGTAGCTTCGAAAACAGCAAGCGCTGCTCACAAGCCCCATTTTATTAGCAATTAGCAAACCCCTGACTTATTCACAGAACAGCAAAACCCCATCTTGTTATCAAAACAGCAGAACGACCCGTCTTATTAACAAAACAGTAGAATACCCCGTATTACTAACAAAACAGCAAAACCCCGACCTCTTAACAAAACAGCCGAACGACCCGTCTGATCAACAAAACAGCAGAACCCCATCTTATTGACAAAACAGCAGAACCCCATCTTATTGACAAAACAGCAAAACCCCCTCTTGCTGACAAAACAGCAGAACCCTGACTCATCAACAGAAAAGCAAAACTACCCGTCTTATTAACAAGACAGTAGAATGCCCCCTCTTATTAAAAAAAAACATAACCTCATCTTATTGAAAAAACAGCAGAACCCCGCCTCATTAGAATACTCGGGAATAGGATGTTTACAGAGCTAGATACTTGCTTCGAGAAATTCCTTCAAAGTCCATCCCAGCATCATCCATGGATGAGAAATTAGATCCATCATCGTGCTCTGCAAAAGATCGTACATGACTCCATTGAAACAAAGTACTTTGATTAACTTGAGTAACGGGGCTAGTCTGGGACCAGCTAGACAAGTTCCTAATTTTCTCATCTGGGTAAACAGCCCAAAGCGTGAACAAGGTGGTCCCTCGTCGCATCACCCCAAAAGAAGCGCTGGATGAAATCAATGTGGATGCTGACGTGAACCAGTATTCCCAATCTCCAGCCGAATAATGCTACCATCTCTGTTATCGTAGAATTCCTAGAACATAAAAGAGGAGATTAAAACAGAACCCCCACTTACTAACAAAACAGCAGAACCCCGACTTACTAACAACCCCATCTTATTTACAAAACAGCAGAACCCTGATTTACTAACAACCCCATCTTATGTACAAAACAGCAGAACCCTGATTTACTAACAACCCCATCTTATGTACAAAACAGCAGAACCCTGATTTACTAACATCCCCATCCTATTTACAAAACAGCAGAACGACCGGTCTAGTATGGGCGCCGCGTGCATAGCTCGTCAACATACATAGTTTTGCAGCCTCGGACACCGTTGTGTCTCTCAACACACGACAACCAGCCCCCTCTCTGCAGACGCCTAGCTAAGGTATCTGTCGAGAGGCTCGCCGAGAATGGACTCAATCACACGCACCAAGTCCTTGCGGACCTCCATCTCAACAGCCTCGTCGTCGTCCTCCAACAACTCGGCAATATAGGGGATGAACATGGGCAAGTACGCGAGCCACTGCTCGCCCATTTTCTGGAGCACGGTCTTCATGACGCGCACAGTCCAAATCTTGGTGGCCGACGAGTTGTCGTGCTCGTTGGAGATGTGGCGGATGAACGCCTGCACCAACTTCTCGTTGTGCTCGTCGGACGCCACGTCGGCCACAAAGAACGAGATGGCCTTGACCAAGTGCTTGCCGATGGAGTCCTCGATGTTGTGAAGCTGGCCCACGAGCGGCTCTGCCACCAAGTCGAACCGCGACTGGTGCGTCCAATAGTCGTCCTGGTCGTACTTGAACGACGACGCCAACGAGTGTAACACGATGCGCCGCAAGCTGGTGTTGGCCACCTGGCCCGTCTGGAACTCCGTGAGGAGCTGCACCGTGGCGTCGAGCAAGTACGAGAAGTACGACGTGATGATGCCGCGCAAGTTGTCTTGCAACTTGCCGAAGAACTTGAAGAAGCTCAAAAGACGCGTCTCGCGGTCGCATTCCGCGGCGCTGCCGCTCTCGCCGCTCACGGCCCAGCGCACCAAGCTGGCGAACAACGGGCGGAAGTTCTTGTCGTTCAACTTCATCACGTACTTGAGCCCGCACGCGTGGAACGAGCCCTCGATGCTGTGCACGGTGTTGTCGGAGAACTTGGCCTCGCCGTGCTCGCTGCGGAACTCGAACGACTTGATCATCCACCGCATGAACAACGCGGAGTTGCCGGTGACCGTCTTCTTGTCGCAGCTGTCGATGGCGCTGCTCATGCCGTTCAAATAGAGGCCCAAGCCCACGGCGCTGTCGAGCTCGTACACGTGCTCGGTCAACGCCATGTTGCACATGGCCTGCAACACCTGCGCCCCGTCGATGTGCTCCACCATCAAGCCCAACACCCCGGCGCGGATGGAGCTGTCCACCAAGTCGCTCTGCAACACCGCGCGGATCATCGCAATCAAGCTGGCCGAGACAAACGCAGGCATGCGCTTGACGAGGCACGAGAAGAGCATCAACACCGCGCCCTGCAACAACTGGTCGCGCTCGGCCTCCTCGGAGTCGGCCAACTCTGCGTCGGACTCGTCCTCGGAATCGGAACTGGCCGCGGGCCTTTGCGAGAGCGTCAGTTTCCAGATCTCCAAAGCCGGAGGCAAGATCTTGGGGAAGTGCCCGATGCACTTGACGCCGAGGCAGTTGACGACGCTGGTGATGGCGCCGAGCGACGACACCACCACCTCCACCTGCTCGCTCAACAAGCCCTTGTGGGACGTGATCACGCGGAGCGAGCCCACCAAGAACTTGGCGTGGGTCGAGCTGGCAAAGTCGGGGTTGGTGGCCCCGAACTTGTTGATGACGGTGGCAAACGTGTCCAAGTACGCCTGCACCAACTCCGTGTTGTGGAACTGCTCCACGCCCTCCACCAACGCCGGCAACAACTTCTCGGCCACCACGCTGTCCACGTGCTCGTCCAAGGCGGCTTTGGTGACCTCGCTTTCGAAGCGCTGCCCGGCCAAAATGGCAAAGTTCTTGGCCACCTTGATGGACGTGGCGTCCGTGACGTGGCGCAAGGACTCGATGATCGACAGCATGTAGTGGCTCAACGGGAGCAAGTTCAACACGCTCTTGAGCAGCTCGTACAACTCCTCAACGACCTCGGCGCCGCCCGCCTCCGCGCTGCTGGTGTACGCCTCCAACGCGGTCAAGATGAACGACGTGAGCCTGCTGGTCAGGCGCAACAACGCGTCCTTGTCCTTCTGCTCGCTCTCGTCGTCAAAGAGCGTGAGTGCCACCTTCATCTTGAGCGACACCACGCTGCTGGAAAACGCCGTGTCCTCGTCCGCGGCCAACGTCTTGTTGAGGAACCGCAAGAGCCGGAACTTGAGAACCACCAAGTCCTTGCTGGGCAAGCTGACCACCGAGGCGCCGTATATTGAGCGGCCGCTCATGTGTGCAAACTGCTCGCTGTCCTTGTCCAACGCGTGCGTGGGGATGGCGTCCCACAACTGGTAGAAGCCATACAAGCCCTGTAAACAGTCGTCTGCGGGGAACGTCTTCAACAAGGACGTCACGAAATCCAACAAGGAGTCGCACTCGTGGGCCTTGTGCTTCGCCATGCTGGCTGCGTACTGCTGGCCAATCAAAAAGAGGATCGTGTGCAACGACTGCTTGCATCCCAAGGTCTTGACGAGCGACACGAACAACTTGACGCGCCGGTGCCGAGGGATGTGCTGGAACGCGGTGATGAAGCTGGTCAACAAGAACTCGATCTCCGAGTCAATGGACTGCGACGCCGACGTGATGGCAGGCACGACCTTGGCAATGGTCTGCTGCAACGCGGAGCTGGAAAACTCGTCGTCCTGGCGGATGGTGTGTGCCCCCATAAACGTGAAGATGGGCATGACGGAGTGGAGAATGATCTCGGGCGCGAGCGACGCAAGCTCCGAGATCACAAGCAACAACCGGTTCTGCACCTGCGGCGACTGCGAGAGCCGGATGGAGTTGACGATCAAGTCCGCGCGGATGGAGTTGGAGTCGAACTTGAACTTCGTCCTCGACGTGGGCTTCTTCATGTCCACGATCGTGAGCAACATACACGATGCCAACGTCTCCTGGGCGTACAACACGGGCATCTTGCCGTCGTTGCACAAGTAGTCCAAGTCGGTCAAAATCTTGAACATCTCCTGCAACAAGTCTGGGTTGGCGAGCTGCGAGGCGTTGCGTCTCAACTGGCTCTCCAACACGTCCAAGATCACCGAGAGTTTGCGCAAGTGGTGTGCGGCGATCGAGCTGATGTCGTCGCGGGCCATGGTCTTTTGCGTGCTGGACGACGACCGTCTTCTTCTCTTGGCCATGCCTTGCTCCGGCACCAGCGTGACAATGTTGACTGTGTTGAGCAACGCGATCATCGACAGGTTGGAGAACACGACCGTCTGCAAGGTCTCCATTGGGTCGAACGCAAGCTCGGCGTCGTTGTCCGTGACAATCAAGTCCACCAACTCGTTGCAAATCTTCAACTTGTGCTCGTTGGCCTCGAGCCGGGGGAAGATTTCAATCAACCGCTTGTTGGCGGCAGACTGCAAGGAGCCTTGCGAGGAGAGCGCCTGCAAGAACCACTTGACTTCCTTGGCCGTGTTCTGCTCGCTGGCCGTCTTGCCACCGACCATGTTGACCACGGCGTCCTCGACGTCCTCGAACGCGATCTTGGCAGCCTGTGCCTCGGCTTGCCAGGCCGCCGTCTTGGCGAAGAAAGTCTTCAAGTCTTCTGCAAACACAAATCTGTCGTCCGAGCCCTCCAAGGCCACGTTCCGGGCGGCCACGATTTGCCACACCCTGTGTTTGACGGCCAAAGGCAAGGCGGTAAGCGACCACTGGTTTAACACAAAGGTGCGGAGCAACACGGGGCCGAACTTCTTCAGCCCGGTCTTGGAGGCCTTGAAAAGACCGTCGAACAAGAGCTGCTGGATTCTGGCTGGGTCCACGAGCACACTGCTGGTCTGCTCCCTGTGTTCGAACAATGCCTGGAGCATGGCATTCCCGTCTTGCGGCGAGATGATGGACCGTTGCGCAGGCTCGAGGTCGCCGTAGATCTGGGTCTCCATGAACAAGGTGCACTTGACCTTCTTCCCGCTTCGCTCAATGAGCTGTGCGGAAAGGACCTTGATCTGCTCAAGAAGCTTCATGACGTAGCCCCGAATGATCTTGCTGGGGTCGCCGAGCGCCAGCAAAAGAAGCGGTGCCAACAAGTAGAACGCGTGCTTGGAGTTGGCCTGTGCCGCGTCGTCGATCTTGGTCAGCAAGCACTTCAAAGCAACCAAGCGCATATTAGAAGGCACGGCCGGAGTCAAGGCCACACGCAAGAGGAACGAGCACTGTGCCTCGGCGCCGTCTGTGACCACGGCATCCACGAAGGCAAACACGTTCTGGATCTGCTCCACGACCTCGGCGTGGTGCATGCTGTCCAACAAGACCAGGACGAGCAGCGCAAAGTCGTCGGAGCTGTCGGAGGAGAGGAAGGATTTGCGGGTCGACGCGTGGCTCGCGAACGAGGCCTTGACGTGGTCGTCTGCGGGGCCCTCCACGGCAATTTTCAGGTAGTCTGCCTCGTACACGGATGCATTGACGTCGGCGTCCGTGAGCGTGCGCAGGAGCGCCATTTCGAGATCGGCCAATGTCTTGTTTTGCGCGTCCAAAATGGCAAGGAGCCTGTTCCGGTCGCATTTCACCAAGCGTTCGAATGCGTCGACGACCCGCGGCTTGAGCTCGTGGGCAAACGGCGTGTCGAGTGCTGCCAAGAGCTTGGTGGCAAGCGAGTCGAACAAGAAGCGCGAGCCCTCGGGCTGGAGGAGTGGCAACACCTTGGCGGCGTCGGCGTCGCTCTGGTTGATCTTGTCTGCAAGGAAAAAGAAGAGGAACTTCAGGAGGTGGTAGTGGTCGTCCGCGAGGCTGTGCACCAACAGCTCGTGCTGCAACAACTCGCACACGGGGAGATCTGCAAACACGGCCGTGTCCTTGGGGAGGTCGTGCTCGTTGTAGAAGTGCCACAACTGGCCCAAGAGAATGAGCGTGTGTCTCTGCAACGCGGGCGCAAACGCCATCTCGCTCTGCAACACGGACTTGGTCAACGAGAACACGAGCGGCTCCAGGAGCGGCACGAGCGAGCACAACACCGAGAGAATCGCATAGATGGTCAAGCGCACGTCCTGGGCCAAGGTGGCCGAGTAGCGGAACGTGCGGTCGCGGAAGAACTCGGCCGCCGTCTCCAAGATCACGGGAATGTACTGCTCGTTCAAGCGGGCGGTGTCGCGTGCATGGGACGCCAACACCTGCGCAGTGTTCGACAAGTAGAACACCAACTGCTCCTTGTACACGGTGCTGTTTTTCAACGCGTCCACCACGTACTGCGAGTAGAGCCGGAAAAACGCCGCGTCGTTGTAGAAGCACTTCAAGATGGACAGCAGCGGCGGTATGGCCAGCGTCTCCTTGTACCCGGCGATGGGCGAGAAAATTGCCGGCCACAGGCTCTTGGGCACCACGGCCATGAACCGCGTGAACACGGGCTTGTTGTGGTACGGCAACGCCGCGAGAAGCAACGGCTCCGGGTGGTGGATGTTGACATGGTAGCGTCTGACGAGCCACTCCATGGCCTTCAATGCCGGGCTCAAGGCAAAGTACGGCGCTGCCATGTTGATGAACGCCACGGCGTTCTTCTCTGCCTGCGCTACCACGTCTTTCAGCAGCACGTTGCGGTCGAACGTCACGGACGCCTCCAGGAAAAGCGTCTGTGAGAACCGGGCGAACCGCGGCTCGATCTGCACGAGCTCCTCCAAGCCTTCACACGCAATCTGGTGGATGTAATCGAAGTCCTGAGCAGCTGCGACCTTGGGGTCGAAAATGAGCGACTGCGAGTGCACATACGCACGGGATTTCCTGTCCAAGGCCACGGAGGCATTCTTGGCGCTGATTGCCTGGAGCTGTTGTGATAAGCTACTCATGGCGTGTTTTGGGGCGAGGGAAATTCCGTGGTTGGGGAATGAGGCTGATGGGCCCGGGAGGCCTACCGTGAAAAAACAGGTGATGAGATACTGCACGCGGCGCTGAGCAGAGCCGGTCACGTGACACGCCGCCGGGCGTCTTGGGCTAGTATCGGGCCGTCTTCATACTGGCCCGGGCGCCATATTTGAGGCTCCGCGGAGAGAGGTTTCTTCCGGTGTGAATTTCTGTGCCTCGAAGAAAAGACTTTTGGAGCAATGGACTAATATTACGCAAGTGCTCAGTGGGGATAATGTGCATCGTCTTCGGACAATTCCTCTGGACATTCACCAGCCCTGCACAATTAAAGATGAATTTTCTACAGGGTATTACTTGGAATTCTAGAAATTTTGGGAGCTCATTTGGCCGCTTGCCTGCTGTTTATGTGGGACGGGATTATTGCGGCGACACGTTCCATTTCTAAGAAGCGAGGTTTCTGCGAGCATGGGATAGTGTTCCTGTTTGGGCCCTCGGGACTCTCTTGTGGGGGTGACTACGGATGCACTCCTTAAAATGCCCGGAAGCTAAGTTGCTTGGAGAACGTGTGCATATTTATCTGCAGAAAAGCACAGAAACAAGACCACGAACTTCAGAAACGCTCGAAACTCTACTGAGGAAGTTCATTCCAAAGTTCCGGGAAGCCGTCTTATTGTCCTGACGTGCAGATATCCCAAATACAATACAAGAACGGAGCTGATGCCACTGCACTGGCCATGCAAGAGAGAAAGCTGGTTCAAGACACACGACTCTGCGCTTCCCGGCCCCGCTTGAACCCGGAAAGCAATACTAACGACTCTCAACTCCTGGAAGCTCAATAACAGTGATCTCAGAGATTCAAGTTGGCTCACAGCCAAGTAAAAGATGTTCTAGAAGAGATTCAAGGGCTCGCTCTAACCAGACCAGAAATTATTTGATAAGACCAGCTTATGAAAAAGAGAATCATGGGAGAACATGGGCTTCAGTCTTTGTGGAAACCTTCGATAATGTGACCAAGAGCTTCTTGGCGCCAATTACAAGGTCATCAAAAGCCAAGTCAATGTACTTGAAAACACCAACAGCATTCGCTACTTGAAAACGTGGACGCACAATTGCGCTCTAAGGCTGTAGGCTTAATGTGGGCCGCCAAAATGAAACAGCACTCTTTCGGAAAATTCGAATCTCCTGTACTGACCAGAAAGCAGCTCTTGCTTTTCTTTCAGAACGATCGTATGGCGAAACAAACCCAGCTCGTCAGGTGATAGCTCATGCAAATTACCGCCTCATATACCTTGTCACACTTTTCAATAGGAAGTATGGGATTTTAATCATAATGCTGACAGATCGTATTGTCAATGAATTCATTTTCAACATAACCGCAGTGAAATCCATGGTCCCCATGGATTGGGAGAAGGCGAATTTCTCCGAAATCCCTCCAAAAGCGCAAAATTTGCATTTTCCTCACAAATCCTTCGGATCATCGAGATAGCATTGCGTCTGAAAGGCGAGCTGGCTTCCCGAGCAATTAATTGCGCTAATTCCGACGGACTTTGGTGCCTGCTGGCCATCGCCTTGTCACGTGACCACGTGCTGATAAGACGCATAGATAAGACGCATAGATAAGACAGCGCCGATAGACCCATTGGTCCTTCCAAGGCTGACTGTCTCAGCTGTTATCATAAATGTTGATAATACTTACCATATTCGCACTTTTGCTCATCTTCAAATGGTGGCTCAAGAAAGACTCGCAGACTGGCTTTTTCGTGAATGCCAAAATTGCACCCATTGGTAGCGACTTCAGGTGGGAAGACTGTGAACCACTACGTCTTCGCCCCTTCGTTGGAAAAATAAGCTTCAATCCGCTGATGGGGGTTCGTAATATGTCTCAAAAAAGAGAAGAACTCTTTCTCATCGAAAACACGTACCTTGAAACTACCAACAGGAGAAAATCTCATTTGGGCCGCTTCGAGCATAAAATGATCCATTGCAACCACAGTGAAATGGCCCAATCAGCAGTACGAGAGTTCTACTCGATGGCCGTATCCTTCTTGGCAAACCGCTACCCGCAGTACTTCAAGCTAGACTCGGCAAAGGGTACAATCCATAATCTCATCAACGATGACGTCTTCCCACTTTCGGGCCGCAATCGCGATGTCAAGTATCTTTTGAGAGTTTTGACTGCCAACATAGAAGAAGACGTAATTATTATGCTCAAGGACCACCCCGAAAATGAGGACGCCGAGTACATCTTGAGGGCCTCCTTAACAGGCTCGCCTGCCGGGTTTGATCCGTCTCACAACTTCGATAGACCAGTGTCCTTTATACACAATCCCGTGCCACAATACGAAGCTCGACTCTTTTCGCCTATGCACAGGTTTTTCAACAAGATCGCGTCCAAAGATATATGGCAAAGAGCAAATTGGTCTATACAAACAAACAGAATACTATTTAAACTCGAGGACCATCATGGAAGGTGCGGTGATGATCCAGAAGAGCAGGAGACACAGGATATTGATTTTGAGAATGCGTGCTTCATGCGTTGTGAAAGACAATTGATCACTCGCCTTCCGCAAACGAAAGCAGTGCTCATGTTGGTGAGAACATATCTCACGCCATTGAAAACCATCAAAGAGGAGAGTCATGCGACCGAAATGGCACAAGCAATTGAATCGCTTCCAGAAGATCTTGCATTATACAAACGAAGACACGTATGGGGAAAAGCCGTTTGTGAGTATCTTCGAACCTAAGGTAATTGGCTTTGCACAAACGCTTGGTGACGCTCTTGAAGAATACTGCCATCCAGGACATTCGTTTTTCAACATACCGGTGGAAGGCGGTGCTCAGTTTTGTATACAGACTTCAAAGATACAGATGTATTGTGTATTACCAAACAGGGTTTTATTTTGCCACCTTGCTAAAGAAAACCACTTTGGGGTCTCAAAATGAATGTACGTATACCTGATTGTGGATGTTCTTCCGAGAACCCACAAATATCATCAACAATACATATCAGGCTTCATTCTGCTCCTTCATTCCCTACTGTGTGGGAACCGAATTGCTCTCTGTAACTCGAAGATTTGGTAGAGGACTTGAACAAAACTGATTTTTTCTTTCTTCTTGGAGTCATTCGGTTGTAGCAATAGACCATAAAGCACAATTTAGCTCCAAAAAACTAGTCTTTGTCAAAAATGGACAATTCTAGTTCGTTCATCACGACGTGGATAGCACCTCTCTGTTTGCGTATTAAGTAGTACTTTATCTTTGCCTGGGATTTATAGTTTGACAAACTTGATATCTTACTGAAACAATCAGATGCTTTACATTAGTTTGACAGAAGACCTATGGCAGCATTTGTGGCGTTTCCATTGCTAGGGGCCTAGCTTGTGCAAAGTTGACATTTGAGGTTTTATATTTCTGGTTTCTCTTTATTTTGGCATATTCATCTGTTTTAAGGAGAAAACATAAAAGACAATATGTACAAAAAACCTTTAGACAACTCCCAGTTATGCATTGAGTGTCAAAACTCGGCTGAAGCTTGATAAGTGACATATAGAAACCTTTTTTTCTTAAATATACATTTCCTTTACGGGAGTCACACTGGACGCCCAAACCTTCTCTCAAAAAAAAAAAAAAACTGGCTTGTTGGGCCAAAATTTTCAAGAAGTCTTCAGCCTCACCTCTAGATCTGATGAAGCCAGACAAGGCGTAAGTGGCTCTGTCACCTGGGATGGCTCTGCCCTCAGCATCGATGTTGGCGATGTTTATTGAACGTAAGTGTGGTCCTTGACCTTTATGTTTGTGGTGATGTTTTACGTCCTTCCAGTGGCACCCTATGATATGGTATTTTTTAATATGAGGTTCTTTATGAAAAAAATTGAAGAAAAAACCTGTAATAGATCGCAACATTGGCTCAGGTGAGAAGGTGCGAGCACCAATTCACGAAATCTCCCAAAGACTTCTGTCCATAACCAATGTCAACCAGTTAAAAAACTAACTAAATTTCATCAGCCCATAGGATATGTTTTCCTGAGGGCCCGTAACCATAGTTCATTTGAAAAGGCGGCAAGACGTACATTTGTCTTTGCCTCCTGGTCCCTAAGCAAATAAACCCTGCGAACGACTTAAGAAGCCAAGTAAGGTTTCTTAATTTGCCAAAGGAAGTATTTAAAGGGCTAGCATCTTCCTTAAGTGCATTGGAGCTTGAAAGCCGATCTTTTGCAGCCAAAAAAAATGCACAATTTCACACTCATTGTAGAAGTGCGTTAACTTCTGATCGCTATAACAGCTTTTCAAACACAACCTGCATTCTAATCTTGACGCCTCCACTTCCATATCATGAAAGAACACATGGAAGCCGTGTTTGATTAGATGAATGGCTATGAGATCGTTTTGAACCAATCATTCTTGTTTGTGGAAGCAGAACACTTTCTTGGCACGTACAATTCAACTCTACAAGGTAGAGAGCCCGGCGTCCTTCATGGCACTGTTGGCACAAGCAGAAGTATTTGTGCAAGCCCGGTACTTTCATTATGTGTATTGATCTAGGTTACATTGCGACTCGCCGCTGATGAGCGTATCGTTTTTCTTTTTTTCTTGGTAGATTCAGGGGCAAAACTATATGAATAGTATATATGAAAAGGCTTTAAACAGCTCCTATCTCCTTTATATGTCTGCATATACTGGTAGCAGTTGCACATAAAGTAAAATTTAAGAAAATGATTCATCCGTAAGCAAAGTAAGAACTTTTGAATATATGCCCGCTGCTACTAACTATATAGTATTCCTCACCAGTAAAATGTTATTATGAAACAGCCTGGAGCTGTCTCTTAAACTACGAGTAGATCGGTTTATAGATAGTTCAGCCTTAGTGGATAGGCCTAGTCTATCTGTCGTATTCTCGATGTCTAAAAAGTGTTATCCTTCTTCAGGGATGTCTCAGCCTCACGCTCCTTTATAGTTCGGAACCCTTCTATACAGTAGGTGAGGGGTAACCCCGATCAGGAATGTTTAGACTCTTCGTCCTTCGTATTATACAGGATGCCCAGAATCTATAATCTGGCTCATGTCGTATCATAACATTATCTCCCCAAAATTAGAATGTTCGTCCTCGAACATTTAGTTATCATGGATAGAGGAAAGCCTCGAAGTACCTTCGCCGCGTCTGATTATTCTGTGACGGCGTACTACCGCGTGTTCTCCGGTTGTAGAATGGAACTCAGGGAGGTTCCCTGGCCGTGTGCGATTATATGCGCTTTCAAGAGCGATTCTCATTCCCACCGGGAATTGC